TTGCAGCAATATTTTCCTCATTCTCAAGGTCACCTGATGACTTAAAAAGAAAATAATATTTTATGCTGAGACAATAATTTAACTCACATTTGACATTTGATTTTATAAGATGCAAATGCAGGTCATATTACCTTGTAGCACTAAAATGTTCTGGCTCTATGATCCTGTTAACTATTAAACTCCCAAGATCTGGTTCTTAATTCTACCTCTAGCTGCTATACATTTCCTTGTAAATTGTTTATGAGAATTTGGTGTTAGGCAAAGATAAAAAAAATTTACCCAATAAGTCTCAGGTTTCTCTTTACCTGTTTGCTAGATAACTGAAACTTATTATGGGGAGAAGTTACTTGCTAATCACTTCTGCAAGTTAAAGGGTTAACTCCGCCATTGTGCTCAAAGAAAAGAAAACTAATTTTGTATGATGACATAAATCCAGGTGTCTGTACTCTGAAAGATCATATCTAATGACCAATTACTCCATGAAAAGTAAAAAGTTTATTGAATAATATGCAATAGATAACTCTTTTTATCCATCAACCCTTAACTCCCAGATCAAATTTGTACTTCTCCTTTAGGTCAACAATACAATTCTTATGATGTTAGTTCATAGAATTTAGTATTGGATTAACTTTTTATCCCCAAATTGATATTTTTCCTTATTCTCATCACTTATCTGGTTGATATTGTAAGGACAAATTCTGTCTTGGTCACTCTTGGGAGCTAGAGAGTTAATTGCTTTTTGTAAAATATTTAAGAAGTTACAAGTACCCTGATTGGTCAAAAGACTATTGTTTATTGTGCCAGTAAACCCCTAGAAGACTGAAGTTTACTTCACACAAGCAATAGACCACACTTCCTATTGGTTTACCGGTAACATCTCCCATTTTGGATGTTTGGAAAACAGTCACAAAAATTTTGTAGATCACTCGCCTCCAGCTTGTATTTTACAAACTTTTCTCTTGTTCTCCCAGGGTGCAGTCTATCACTTAAATCAAGGAGTCAAAGAATAGTACAGAGATCAAGAAATTAAAAGTGGAAGACAATAGATATGCAAGCCTATTTTTTTCGTAAATAAATCCTGAGTGGATTATATACCCAGTAAACCAAAGGGAAGAACAATGATACATTTCAGTTTGTTCCAGCTTTCTTCAAGTTTACCACTAACACAAAACAATCACTTTTTGACCAATCAGAGCATGCTTATTTAATCAACTACTTTGTTGATATGTAATATTATACTTACAGCAAGTACTGCTCCATCTGAATTAATTACCAAGTATCCCTGTACATCAGGTATTTTGTCTAGTCCATGTGGGAAAGGAATTGCCTTCAGTTACAAAGAGACAAGTACAGAAATGTCAGTGTTGTAAGTATGAATTAATCTGAATCTGCAACAACCATTACCACCACAGTTTTCAGTTAGAAGACAAAAGGTATTCAGAGACTTGTGTTGAACTAATGAATGTATGTCAATTTCTGTAAAGTTTTAAAGAAAGACATAGCTTGGGCTACAAACATGTACATGCAGGTCTTCATAAATTTTCGTAGAGTCTTAATTATTCTTGGCCGTTTTTCTCTGATATTCCTCTTTCTTTGTCATCCTATGTAATATTTCTGAAGAACCAGGACAAATAGAATCCAAAATGGTGTATTTGTCTTGAGAATTTAAAGCAGTCTCTTCAAAGTCAGAAAGGAAGAGGAACAATTTTTTGTGAAAGAGACTATGGCAGGTCCAAATATCCGTCTCTCGAATAGTGCGAGAACACGAATTTCAAGTGCAACTACAAGTTGGCATAAAAAAGTCTTACAACATTGCAATAACGTTTTCCAAATACATTTATAGCGTAGAGTTTAGATTCTGTCAGCCCCGAAATCGTTTTCAACACTGTTACTTGTCGTTCTCGAGCGCAATGGCTATCCAGGTTTCTTTCAGGTTGGTTCACCGAAAACTATTTCCTTCAAGCCTCCTCAAATTAATCCATATCACAATTTCATTAACAATTGCTAACGGCATGACAGAAGGCAATTTTTTCTGCAAACTCACCATCTTCCTGTGCTTGAAATTGAGAGAAATCACGAGATTTCATCATGCTTAGCAGCCGCGCTATATCTTTTGTAACAGGTATTGTAAGATCAGGGTTTAAAAACCAAATATCCGCCCCCCTGGATATGCTCGCCTCCGTGGCCTAATGGATAAGGCGTCGGCCTCCTACACGGATGTGCCGGGTGAGCACTAGTTAGCCGAAGATTGCGGGTTCGAGTCCCGTCGGAGGTGTTTTTTTTCTCCACTTTTACTTTTTTTTCTGGCTGTTTAAGATCCTTGTGTAATTTCTGCATAAAAATTTTAGAAGGCAAAAGATTCTAACAGATTCAAATCTCGATGAGGCTTGGTTTTCGGCAGAATTGAATGACACTTATGAACTTTCATTTTTTTATCAGGAAGAAAAATTGGGCTCAAAACCATTGGAACTGACTTTGTGTTTGACATTAGGCAACGGCTTCCTCTTAAAAAAGAACACAATTAAATAAACTTGACCACTCGTCAAAAATGTATCCTAAAAGTTGCTAAATCAATTGATACGAGGATACTGATTACTGTCCACACAAGCAAACGGATATTGCTTTTAATAAGTCAGCATTGTTTTCCTCGCTCCTTTCGTCTGGAGGAAAAGAGGACTCTTAGAGATGAGCTAATATAATACTGGTATTATATAAGAACATTTTAAAAATTCCTTTCATGCTACAGTTGAAAAAAAGGTGACGCACAATAGCATAATGCTAAAAATTTCGTGCATAATTCATCTCACCCTACTCTTTATCACGATCGGTACTCATTGAAGGATAATATATCAACTTCATTCATAAAAGTGCAAACTGATTACAAACTTCTTTAGTTTTTACCTACTTTAGTAGGAGGTTTACTATTACGTGTATCCTCCTCGAACACACTCTCATACACGGTGTGAAAAATTGATTGGCTCTCATTGGTGCGATTTATCCACGAATCGAAAAAGATGCTCTAGCGGCAAATGAGAGAGCTTCAGTAAAACACGACAACCAATCATATTTCAAGGCTTGTTTGAAGAAATCTATCAATTTGCAAGAAAAGGAAAGAAAACTTTACAACTTTTTATGAACCAGCTCAATACTGTTATCAATGAGAAACGTGTATATGAGCCAGTGAGTTTTGCAATTTCAAAAAAGATGTAATAAAGAGGTCTTCGAACTTGATACCCTTCACGCTTTGACTGTGTGGGAGAGGTATTAAAACAGATGCAATGACTTGAAAATTGCCCCTAGGGGGATACCGACGGACCCACTAGTCATAAAGCAAAGAAAATTACCGCACCACTTTCGACCACTGCAGCCGACAACCACTTCTCTCTCTTCATGAGATGTGAGGTTCTTGCTCACTACGACTGCTCATTGTTTATTGGTGAATAACACCACAACATATATTTCAGGGGGAAGGATTTTTATAAACCTATTAAAACTGTTAAATTGGTGTTAAATATTGATAGATGTGAGGTGGTTCTAGAAATTTAGAGTTTGGCTCTCTGGGTTTCAGCCTTTGCGACGGAAAAGAAGAGAACCAAAGAACATAAAATTATGCTGAACAGCCTTCCCTCAGCTACTATTTACTCTCAGTGTAGCTTTAAAAACTCAAATAAACAAACGTAAATCTTGTACACACTCTACATTTGGTTTAAACGCTCGTGACTGGTGCTTTATGCGTTCGCATTAAAAGGCGTGGATGCTGAGCCATTTGTAGCGATTGAGGCATGAAGGGTTCTCTGGGTGTGGCGAAGATAGCGATGAGATAGATCTCATTGCAATACAACATAATCGTAGAAAATAGAAAGAAAGATACAGCAAATAGACAAACAGAAAACTGATTTCCTCAGAGGACTGTTAACCTCACATCGCTAATTAGATTTATCATTTGATAGGGAAAGAACTAAAAACCAGAAAAGGAAAGGTTCGTAAATCAACTTCAATCACATTAGTATGCAAGATTATTTTTTTCCTTCTCACAGGATCATAAAATGTAATCCACGTGCTGAGTAACTCTTGTTTGGCTTTTTCGCTTTTTTATTACACCCATTTTGAAATCACTGATGGTCCCTGTAATCTGATTGGCTCTAATTGGTGCGATTTATTCACAAATTGCACCATTTTTTGCTTTTAATCGCATCTTTTCCCCAGCCAGTGAGGAGGCTACACTAAAAACAAAACAACCAATCAGACTTCAAGGCTTGTTTAAAGTAACCGATCATATTGCAGGAAGATGAAAGACATGGAGTATCATATGGCAAATCTTGCAACTTTTGTTTCCAAAACTCTTATTTTTTCCTCCCAAAAAATGGATGAATTTAATTTCAAACCAGCTCAGTATTGTATTAATAAAATATTTGAACTGACCAAGTCCTGTATTTGGGCGACTTCAAAATGGATGTAATAAAGTGGTAATTGAACCTCGTGTTGTGCAATTTTGGTCTGAAATCATACTTTTGATTTCAAATCGAACTCGCGCTGCGCGCTCGTTCAATTTTGGAATCACGCGTATGATTTCAGCCCAAATTGCACTCCACTCAGTTCAATTACCATTATTAATCATTACCTTTTGCATTTTCGTATGACAGGTATAGAAATTGACAGTAGATAACTACCGGTGTATAGCTTGGAGGAGCTCCCCTAAAAATATCAACGATGGAAGTCTGGGAAGGGGGGGGGGCCGCAGGGAGCACCTGTGTTTGCATAATATGGGGAGCAGAGATGGCGCAGTGTTGAGAGGACTCGCATCCTACCACTGTGGTCTGGGTTTTATTCCCGAACCTGATGTCACATGTGGGTTGGGCTTGTTGTTGGAGGATTTTTTCCCCCTTTCCTCCACAAAAACCAACATTTTCAATTCCAATTCGGCCTCGCAACACTAGACAAGAAGAACCGCCTCATGTCCACGACTAAATCTCATATATTTTATCAAGACTGGGAAACTGTGCGATGCAAGTATCTTTTGCTTATTTTTATTGTAGACTATTTATGGTTAATGGTAACAAGACAGCTAATAAAATTTCAATCTTGTTGCTCGCCAACATAAAGGGTCAGGGTCAGTCCATTACTTTGCTTACGTTGCTGTTAGCTTAAGATATAAACAACTAATGAGGATAATTAATGTTGCAGTTAAGGAAGGAGCTACTTCATGACTTAGCGAGCATCTTGAAAAATTCAGAGTTACAATCTGTGTTGATCTTCTCCATTTTTTCCCTATTTGTAACTCTATTTCGTTTATTCTCATTGTTCTGCTTTTTTTTCTTTTTTTCTGCACTAGTAAGTGATTATTTGAATGGAACGCACTTCGATGGAGTGTCGTAAAAAACCAAAACCAAAGAAATTACGACAACCAATCAGAACAACGGGAAAATATCACAAGAAGCCAATCAGAACTAAAAACGAGCGCGGGAAAACGCAAGCGTCCGAGTTGCAACCGATTTAGTCTTGCGTCTGATTGGTCGAGGAGATAAGTTGAGTTTTTCGCACCAATCACAGGACGAAGCAAAGCAAAACCTCAGTGGTCCCTGATTACTTTTGACACTCAATCGAACTGATGCCCAGTTCTTTCCTTTTCTTTCAAAGGCAATTTTTAACGCAAAAGAAAGGAATTAAAATACCGTGAGGCAGCTCCTTCATTTAAACTAAAATTCGTTTTCTTTTCCTTGAAGAAAGGTTTTATAACGAAGTATCCATTTAAGGTACACAAGGATCGCGAAATTACCTTGCGATCATGCGATACTGACCCAAAGATATCTTTATGAAAAAACCTATTCAAAAAGCCATTTTTCTACTCATCTACCAGATGTAGAGCCAACAGTTTCTTGCAAGCCAACTCTGATTGGTTTGTACATGAGTTTCAAATCATCGAACTAGATGTATGTGGTCCACATTAACCCTTGAACTCCCTAGATCTCATTAATAATTCTCCTTACAATCTGCCTTTCCATTCTTATAATGTTAGTTCGAAGAATTTGGAATTAGATCAACTAGTAATCCCCTAGTTTAGATTTTTGTTTATTCTCATCTCTTGTCTGCTTGAATTGTATTGATATTGTAAGGAGAAATTCTGTGTTAGTCATTCCTGAGAGTTTAAGGGTTACGAACTACAAGGCTTGCGAGCAAGTTCTCGTTTTTGAGTAGCAATCTCTCGACGCTTAACAAGTAGAACTTGCTAACAGAGTGTGTACTGAGCTTCTTGTGCACAAGGCAATTGAAAGAACACGAGGCATATTGTTCGGCAAATCCACGTTCAAACAGAGCAAAATTGGCATGAAACAAACTGTTGGCCACCAGAGATAGAAGTGAACATGGTATGACACTACACACTGTAAGTCTTTCACTGAAACTACACGTATTTATAACGCAAAGAACTCCAACGATGTAATAATAAATATACTCTTCTTCTCTGTTTTACAGAATTTACTCGTATGGTCATTTTCTATTCTCGATTACATTTTATACAAAATTAATAACATTTGAATTTCTCTCATGTCTCTAATACTTCACTGTACAACAGCTGAGCTGGTTGCCTGACCACTCAAAGAAGTTTAATATTTATTAAAGCTTTATTTGATTTTTTATCTAAGTGAACAAACCCCTTCTTTCGCGCGTTAAATTTAATTTATAGGGGAGACCTCGAACACAGATCTCTCCCACTTACTCATACGAGACATTGATTGGTTGTTGCTGATCAGTCAAAAGCCAATCAGAAAACTCGACACTTCTAAACCCTCCACGGAAACGTCATTTCCGGTCAAAGCTCGTCGCCAATCTCTCTCTCTGGATTGACAGGAATGCGCAAAGACAAACGTTTTGTTCTAGTGAGCTACGTGAGACGTTTATCTTTTAGAAACTACAATATGCCTACCTTAATTCAGTGTTGCAGGGCGCAAGAGAATTTGAAAAACACTGGAAGTATTACAAGCAGAAAATGACAATATAAATTGTTCTGCAAACACAATGGGCTTAAGCAATGTTCCCACAAGGCAGCTAACGGGAAACAAACGGGGTAGGTTTCTGAAAAAACTGTGGGGCTGGGTCGGTTATTTTACCGATATCAAAGGTAAAGAGGTAATTTTTAATTTACATTTTATAATTTTTTTTTGGGAATGACTCATTACCTGAAACAACTACTTTCTTTATCCTAAACTTGTGGTAATTGTAAATAAATATCCACTCGAATGAAAAATACACAAAAGCAAGGACATTTTTCGAAAATGCAATACACAACAGCGTGATCAGAAAATTTATCAGAATTTCACTTCCATACAATTTCAAAATGTAATGCAGATATTGCAACACGAATCGCTGATATTTTAACCGCGCAAATTCATCTTCTCTGAGATTTTGCATTCAATATTTCGTATCATCAAATATCTTCTGCCAACATTCTTTTTGCAATAATGGGAAATTACGTTTTGTTTCTTACTGAGAAATTCTAAGTATTTCAACCCTGATATACTTCATGGTTTAAAAAAATAAAACAAAGAAAAAAAACATCACCATAACGAAAACGGAAAAAGAAATACTTTTAAAAAGTATTAAAAGCACTATTTAAAAAGTAACCACGCTATAAAAAAATTGTTGCTTCACTCATTCAAATCTAGAAAATTAGTTGAATTTTTCAGTCATTCTCAGATATAAATACAAGATTACTCGAACTCTCGAATTGGGGGATAATTTACAAACGGTCAAAATATTCTTGGCAACCGGTAAAAAGGAGCTTTTAACAGAAAACTTGGTATTCGCATCTATGAATCAACAATTCGTCTCTTATCCGTTAGTATAAATCCCAACTACTTTGCTTCAGTTTAACTTATGTCAATCGATTAATTCGAATGTAGGACAAGATCTAGATTATTGTTGTCCTTCATGGAATCGTTTACCTCTTAGAGTGACACTTCTCCAATACAGCTACAATAGATAACTTATGGTTGTAGTTATTATCCTAACAGGAATAATATACGCAATATAATGTCATTTGATTTGATTCCCTCCATCGCCAGACTATTAAAACAGAATTTCCAGTGATCATTTCTGGAGGACTGTGTGTCTAGTAAGGTCAATTACTTTCTACAAATACCTTGTTTCAAAGACCTTTCAAGTTACTTAGCTACGACGTACGACAGAACTTCTTCGCAAAATGTCTGAAATAAATAGAACTCTTTCACCTTACTTCACAATAGCTCAAATATTCAAGGATTTTTCCACTCCAAAAAGGCAGTCTCTTATCGCCTTCTTACAAATACCTTGTTTCAAAGATCTCCCATGTTACTTAGCCACAACGTAAGATGGAGCTTCTTCGTCAAATGGCTGAAATAAATAGAACTCTTTTACCTTACTTCACAGAGGCTCAAATTTTCAAGTATCTTTCCACCCCAGTCTCTTCTCGCCCTCTTTCAATGGCTGTCCTCCTTTTCAATTGTCCTCTTCCCCCGTCCAGCCCTCTCCTCGGCTTTCGCTGTCCGTTCAATCCTTTGCGCTGACTTAGGAGACACCCCCCCGCATAGAGCCTTTACACTGTGTAGAATGCGCTTGACGTGCCCCACTTTGGTAACACCCAGTTCCTGGTGAAGGAAATATAATTAGTTTTGCCAAATAAACTAGACCCGTGGTTTTCTTCGCAGTCTTTGAGATATCGCGCAACGTTCCGCCGTTCAGTGCCATCTCAAAGAACGAACGTGAAATAGACTGGGAGATCTGTTACTATTCAAAATCTGGTGCCTATCTCAATTCTTGTCACGAGATGTTGTTGGGGGCTTATTCCTTTAAATGTGACACTAACCAGTTCATCAATCGTCCCACTCCTCCCTTGTATTTTCTAAGTCTTCCCGGTATTCGTACGCGATAATCATTTCGGTTCAACAGGGAGGAAGGCACACTAAGGGAGTATCGTTTCTCGTCACTGGGGGTAACACAACACAATAATCCAACCAGAACTCAAGATCGAAATTTCTCGCATAGCCAATGGCGAAAATATGGTCTCAATTACAAAATCATTTCATGCAATGTGCTTGATGTACCAGTACCTTCAAATCCCCTCTGGTTAAATTTAACAGCTCATTGCCCCGGATGTCATGACTTTCAAAGTTTTCCTTGTATTCCGACAGTCCCAGGCTTTCCAACCAGTTCCCGACCTCCTCAACTCCCCAATATGAAATCATGTGACCTGGAAAACAATCAACGGTAAAGCAACTATGATTATATACCAAAGAGAGCGAAATAATCATTCTCTCTTTTATCCCTGCCTATTCTCAGCTATCACTCTTTGTCAACGCACCTGAATGTGTAAGAAAAACTACTCTATAAAATTTAGTAGTTATTGTCACCTTTCCCTCTGATTTAGATATCGTTTGGGGACTGGTCATAAAGTACAGGAGGGGGGGAAGGCAGACTGGAAAAAAATCGATAATAAAATCATTATCAGTAGCCCACCCCTTGGTAAGTGCATAACTAAACGAAGCCCACCGAAGAATCCTCATAAAAAAAAAGCTATAACCCCCCCTTTAAAAAGTTCTAGGTGTAATGTGTTCAGGTAGTGTTTTCTATTCCTTCAGGAACTTGACCAAAAAAAGTCCATCTTCAAAGTTGTAAATATCATACTGTCAATAATACACTTCTTGCACGATCAGATTCAGGCATGTTTTACATATGACTCACCCCCTCTGTACTGCATGGCTTGTTTTCTATACCTTACCTTTTCTCGTGCACAAAATGGTGGCCGCCCAACCTTCTCTCTTTTAACCAGCCCATCTCCCTGCCTCTTCCCCCCCCC